GTTTCTTTTTACTGTTGTTCATTTTGTTTTTCCACCCCTTTCCCTGGCTCCTGGTACCTGTACCTCTGGACTCTCCTATCGGAGAATTAAAAAAAAGTAAAATGACAAAAAAAGTCCAAAAAAAAAAGGAAAATGAGACAACAACAAAAAATGAAACTCTTACAAACGAGGCAAGCCACCCGCCCAGCTGCCTCCCCAGCCGGAGCCGAGCCGCGGAGCCTGAGGCGGCCCTGGGAAGGGGCAGGCAGACCCGGGGAGCCGCACTCGGACGCCCCGCCTCGCCTCGCCTCTTCCAGGGACCATTCCAGCCGGTGCAGAGGGACGGGGCGCGTGGGGGTGGTGGGGGCGGCAGGGGAGACGGACGGGCGCACGACCCCCCTCCCTGGCAGCAGCCACGACTTTGACATCCGTCTGTTCCTCCGCTTTTTTTCTCTGCAAACACGTTCTCTCGCCCAGAGACCCTGGAGCGCACCGCTCGCTGAGCAGGGAGCATTTTAGCCAAGAAGCCATGGAGTGGGTTGGGGCGGGGAGGGGGTGGGGGGCATGGGGTAACTGGGTGATGGACATTAAGGAGGGCACGTGATATGATGAGCACCGGGTATTATATAAGACTGATGAATCACTGAACTCTGCCTCTGAAACTAAGAATACACTCTATGTTAATTAATTGAATTTAAATTAAAAGAAAAAAACAAAAATAAAAATGGTTTTGCTTTAAAGAATACATTTCTAATCCATTAGGACTTATAACAGTACAGATATGTGTTAAAAATCAGCAATCTTGCTTCAACTCTATAAGCACTGTTTATTATATTAACAGTAAATTCAGCAAAACATAATCTGAACTAATTTCTCACACTGCTCTGAATTATAAAATACTGTAAAAGGAATTTCTATACCTTTTTGTTCTTTGTGTTTTAGGTGATAGTTCTGCTGGCTCTGTGTTGTTAAACATTTCTTTACAAATATGTAGTAGATCTACTTGAAAGAAATTTGTTTTCATCTGATTAAATATGTCTCCTGCCATTTTTTGGCTTTATTAACTTGTTTGATAATTTCTTTGTATGGATCGCACCAACGGTAACTTCACCCATTTTAATTATTGTGCAAATTCCTAATAAGAGGTTTTGGTTTGTTTCTTTGATTCATAGAGGACTGTAGATAATGTACGTTGTTGAGCACTTTGCTTTTTAAAGCACCTTCACAAACTTGTCATTTCTTCCTCCTAAGGACCCATGGCATGGACAGGAAGATGTTATTGTTCTTGTTTAACAGAGTAGCACAGACAAGTCACCTGGTGAAAGGCTAGGCCTACATTACCACTCTGCTCACTGCCTGCCTTTTCTTCTGTGCTGTAGCGTTAGAGGAGCGTGGTAACTAGAAGAGTATATTCCTCTTATAACTCCTCAGTCTGAGAGGCAGGGGCTGTGCTTTGCTCCTTTACTGGGTTTTGTTACGCCAGTTTGTGGGATTAAGGGAAGAGTTAATTGGGCCTGGTGGAAATACTATGAAGCTCTAGAACAAGTACATTGGCACCTTTGGGAATTGGTGTTTAACAGTTGCTTGTGTTCTTATTTCATCTGTGACTTGAAAATGAGGTTGCATAAATAACTGGAAAAAATTTTTTCTTATATAGCAATAATGTGTAATGGTTTTCAGGTTTTTGTTTTTGTTTTTTTTAACACACAGGCCCAAATTGCCAGAAAACCTCTGTTTATGAAGAACAGCATTGAAAATATTGAGGCCTAGATGAAATTTATTCTATTTACCAATTTTCTTCCCACGTATCAAAAAGAAAATCCTTAAAAACTAACTACTTAGTAATTACTGAATGGAAGTAAAACTAGAACTCAGCTCACTGATGAAGTTCATGTTTTCACTAGCTCTTTTAACCTTTTTTAAGGAATCTGGGGATTTTTTTTTGCTGTAGTATTTCGAGAGGGGTCTGTTTGTTTCAAGTCACCTCGGGGGAATACATTCTTCCTTTTGAGCTACTAATTGACATAATAGTCCTATTCCAATTTTGCAAAATCCTGTTTTTCCTTTAACATTCAGGATTGTTTGATAGTTCATTTGTTTTTACTCACTGAGAAATATTTTTTTTTCTGTAAAATATTCAGATAGAAATATAATTTTTTCCTTCTTAACCTTTCAGCTTCCATAGAGACTGCACTTCCAGCTCTTGTTGTTCCCATCCTGGAGCCCTGCGGTAACTCAGAGTGTCTGCACATTTTTGTAGACTTGCATTCTGGAATGTTTCAGTTGATGCTTTATGGACTTGGTACGTGACTCAATGATAGTCACTCAGCGTAAAGAAGAATGCTTTCACAAAAGCAAACTAAAATTTTTCTGCCATTACCTCTGGTATTGGAGGGGGTGGTTTAGCAGTATAGAAAGTCTATGTGGAAGGGATAACTCTGGCTGATGTCTATTCCTTGAGGCCAATTTTAAGTCTCCTTTGGATTTTCTTGTATCAAAAATTAAACCTCCCAACATGAAGTGCATTCATGTTGTTTCTCTTTTTGTAAAAGTAATAACGTTGATGGCTGATGTTTTTTAGATTAGCGATATTACCACTCATAGTTGGGTGACATGGAAACAACTACAGGGGATTCTGATGTCACTCATGGCTGAAGAACAAATTTATGACAATGTAAACATCTAAATGTTAACTTAGGATACAGAATCCTGGAGAAGAGGGTTTTTGGGTTTTTTTGTTGTTGTTGTTCCTAGCCTAAACACAGTAGACATTAACGTTGGATTTCTAACATGATCTGTTACCAAGTTGGTGGTCTGAAATGATGAACCACTTGGCACTTAGTGTTTTTGTATTGCTAATGGAACAGTGTTCTTGCACATATTAGCACATTTACCGCTTGAAATTAATATTAAGCTAGATCAATGAAAATAAAAGGTTTTCTGGTTATACTGCATAAAGATAAATTTGTCTGAATTGTTCATAGAACGCTGGTCTCATTACTTTGAATCACGTTGCATTTATGTTGGCTAAATGATAAGTGGCACACTTAGGAATTACCTTTTAACTATGGTTCCAAAGCACAAGGCAATTGTTCTTCAAAAAATTTTTTTATTTGTTTTCTTGACTTTTTACATAATACATACTCGTAAATAAGGAAGATGAACGTGTAAAATGAGAGAAACAAAAAATAGTTACCTGTTGGCAGTCATTCTTGTTTTAGAGGATATATGCTTGGCTCAGTTCAGGCTACCATAACAAAGAACCACAGAGAGGTTTGCCGAAACAGTAGAATTTCATTTTGTCACGGTTTTGGAGTTTGGAAGTCTAAGATCAGGTTGCCAGCATGGTTGGGTTCTGGTGAGGGCTTTGTTCCTGGCTTGGAGATGTAGGCCTTCTCTCTGTCATCACGTGGCAGAAAGGCAAGCTCTCCAGTGTCTCTTCTTTTAAGACACCAATCACATCATGACCTCAGTCCTATATCCTCATGACCTCGTCTAAACCTAATTATCTCCCAAAGGCCCCACCTCTGAATACCATCACATAGGAGTTTAGGGCTTCAACATACGAATTTCCATAGCAATGGTATTCTGATTTTCTCCATACTTTTTTCTTTAGTTGAAATCATTTTATATTTTGCTTTTTGTGCAACATGCTATTATAACATTTTTTGGTGTCATTAAAAATTCTAAGTGACATTTAGCAAGCTGAACTTAAGCCAACAGCTCTTATGCCAGAAATTATTTGTTTAATAAATAAACGTTTTATTTTTTAAAGATTTTATTTATTTATTTGACAGAGAGAGAGAAACAGCAGGAGAGGGAACTCAAGCAAGGGGAGTGTGAGAGGGAGAAGGAAGCCCGATGTGGGGCTCGATCCCAGAACTCTGGGATCACGACCTGAGCCGAAGGCAGATGTTTAACGACAGAGCCACTCAGGCGCCCCAATAAATAAACATTTTAATGGAGTTTTATAGTTTTTGCACTTTTAAGGTTCTAAGTTTAGTGATACTAGGAATTTGAAATACATGTAAGTGAAAAAAATTAACTACACCAAGAGTTTTGGGAATTAAAATGTAGGCAAAGAATTAGTTCCTGTATTTGTTACTTGTTCATCCTGCTAGTGTACATTTGCTATTAATTAATTGTCTGACCTGTAACTCTCTTTAAATGTTAAAGAGGGTAAACAAATTGGGTTAATTGATGCCTGACGATACGTTTAGTTTGGTTTTTCTCTGACTCAAAAATAACATTACTTTCTGCCTAAAACAATAATTTCGTGTAAGTTTTGGGCTACCTAAATATTTTATGCCTCATGTAAGCAGTGAATTAATGAAGTGCTATATTCTATAGACCAGGCCACGCTGGATGACATGGAGAAGTCTGTGAACGATGATATGAAACGAATTATCCCTTGGATTCAACAACTGAAGTAAGCTTATTTATTTAGCTCAAGACTAAAAATGGAAAGTTACTTTGGTATGATATATTTTCTTCTCCATCATTACTCTTGATCAGTCACTGTCCTTAATGTTTATGACATGAAACTTGAGCACCTTTTGGTACTTGGAATCGAAATTCTCTTGGAATAGGGCCGAGATGGCAGTGTTTTGTACCCAGTTCCCTTCCAGAGCAAATACAGGTTTGAAGGGCATGGCACTCTACTTTTCATTCCTTGCCACATTTCCTCCTGTAAAAGCACTGTATAAATCACTTACAGTGAATTTTATTGAATCTAGTGTTCTCTGCAGTAGAGTCTTATTACCCCGGATAATCTTCATGGTATGAATCTACCAGCTGACACTTCCAGAATAGTTGTTTCTGCTTCTCTAACACTGTCATTCAATACTGTCTCAAAATCCTTTGAGTGCTTCATACTGTTAAACTAAAGAACACTGGAAATGGAACTAAAGAGTCCATTATGGCAACTCTAACAAACTCTCTTTTAAAATTAATAAAACAGAATTCCAAGGGATAAAAATAAATTTCAGAGATCAAAACCCAAACTGGCAAATGGAGAAGGGGGGAGAGGGCTAGACTGTTCAGAGAGCTCTGTTGATTTTGTGATCTAGCCTTACCCCTTCTCGCTGCCAGTTTGAGTTGTATAAATATTTGAAGACTTCACTATAATCAGGTAATGTTTTCATTAACAAGATAAGATTTTTAATGCCAGTAGATAGTGTTTTATGAGCCTCCTTTTGAACAGCTGCTTAGTGTAATTGTATATGAAAGATGATAATCATTATTCTGGGTAACACATTCCAAAATTTTTAGTGATTTAGCATATTTTTGTGCATTTGGCTAAACAAATAAGGTTTAAATACTTAAATGCTTAATAACTCACATCTTGCATGACTCAAGGTTATCTGGCAGTCCAGCTAGCAGAAATATAACATAAAACCAGAAAGCTAAGTCCCCAAAGCCTTAAACTTATCAAATGTGTCTCTGTACTTAAACACATAATTTCTGAGAAAGGTCCCCTGGTTATCACTTACAATAGTGCTTCTCAAATGATCTTTGGTGAATGACCAGTTGATTGTTAATCTATCATGGGACATTAATGTTTTTGAAATGACTTTATTGAAGTATTTCTGTACCAGAGAATTCACCTATTTTAAGGACTTGTAAATTTACTGAGTTTTGCATCCATAATCACAATCCAGTTTTAGGACATTTGGAACATTCTCATCACCTCAAAAAGGTGTTCATTTACAATTAACCCCCATTCCCAGCCTGAGCCCCAGGCAACTATGAATCTACTTTCTGTTCTTATAGATTTTTTTTTGGACATTTCGTATAAGTAGGATCATAAATTATGTGGTCATTTGTGACTTGCTTCTTTTCACTTAGCTTACTGTTTTGAGGTTCATCCATTTTGTAGCAGGTATCAAAGCTTAATTCCTTTTTATGGCTGGATAATATTCCACTATATGGCTTTGTACCACATTTTGTTGATCCATTCATAAATTGACGGATACTTGGGTTGTTTCACCTTTTTTTTTTTTTTAGATTTATTTATTTATTTTAGAGAGAAGGGCGCACACAAGCAGGGGGAGGGGCAGAGGGAGAGAGAATTTCAAGCAGACTCCCCGCTGAGCAGGAGCCTGATGTGGGGCTCGATCTCATGATCCTGAGATCATGATCTGAGCCTAAATCAAGAGTCAGCCACTTAAACCGATTGAGCCGCCCAGGCGCCCCTGGGTTGTTTCACTTTTTGGCTATTATGAATAATGCTGTTCTAAATATTCATGTGTAAGTCTATGTGTAGACATGCATTTTCATTCCACTAGGAATGGAATTGCTGAGTCACAGTAAATTTATGTTTAACTTTTTAAAGAAACTGCCAAACTAGTTTCCAGAGTAGCTGTGCCTTTTTAAAATCGCATCAGCAGTATTTGAGGGTTTCCGTTTCCCTGCATTCTTGCCAACACTTGTTACTGTTTTTTACTATAACCATCCTAGTGAGTGTAATGAGGTATTGCATTGTTGTTTTCATTTATATTTTTCTAATGACTGAAGATATTGAGCATCTGTTCATGTGATTTCTTATAACGTGCAACGAAAACAAATTCTAAAAAAAGAAATGAAAAAACGTGTAAAATATAAGCCCCAGTTTTTTATTGTAAGAACCAACAGAAAATTACATCTCAGTAAACATAGAACAGTATAAAAATAAAAAAAATCTATACACATTTTTCATTGGAAGTGTACATAGACAGTTAATACAGAAAATTCACTCTTACGTTCAGATTTTTTGTTCCATGAAATCAAAACAAAAAGAGTAAAATGACAATTCTGTGTGCACATTGAAGAGAGTATCTTGTATTTAAAATTTATATAAATACACGTTTGTATATATTTAGAATTTATATTGTATTGATACTATCTTGTATTTAGAATTTTTAACGTGACAAATGGGCTTGTTTCTTGCTTGTTGGAACTAGTCTAGATTGGGTTGATGATGATGCTAATCACAGGAAATAACATATATCTTAACTGTTTCTATTTTTCTTCAAAAACATACATAATGGAGATCCCAGTCTCACAAAGTCTCACATGTTGATGGGAATGGAAGTAGAGATTTGAAAGCAGTTTTGGCAAGTTCAGAACATTCATTTTTAACTTTTATCTAAAACATAGCAAGTATTGTTGCATCTTCAAAATTTATCTTCATTTCTTCATTTATAGCCACTTCTAGCATTTGATCCTGTGAAGTTGCAGATAAATTTAAGTTGTTTTTCAGTGAAAAAAAACTGCTTTCTAGACTTTATACATTTTTGGGTAATAGTTGACAAACTACCCTTAAAGTGTTGTATGTTATGACCTGGTTTTACTGCACGTGACTAGTACAGAGTTTGTACCACATGCAGCTCACTACATAAATTGCAGCAGCACCTGAGCTGGTCTGTGCCCTGTTCAGCGAGGCCAGCCTGCTGATCGTGAGCTTAGATGTTGTTGTAATTGTTACGTCGCTGTGGAAAGTTTCTAAATTTGTATTCTTATACTCTGTAGTTATTTCACTGTGAACCAGTGAGAGTTTATGGGACCAGTCATTTTATGACATGGTTTTGCTGCATGTGACTAGTACAGTACTTTTTCCATATATTTTACACACATATACACAGTGTCTAGCCTCAATGATAGCTAATCAAATAAAAGAAGTGAGAGGAATACTATAAAAAGCATCAAACTAAAATCTGGTGGCTTAACCGAGAGAGAGGAGGGAAAAAAGGTAATTAATACTTATTGGCACCTGCTAGATATAACCATCACTTTACACATACACAGTATAAAAACTGGGACTATATATCTCTAGCGATACTAGAAAAATTAGGTACATTTATACCTGTTTATTGTTTGTTCTATTTTCTTTTATAAACATTTCAGGCATTTTGTAAAAGATGTTGAGGTTAGTTATTGCTGTCTTAATAAACCATAGGAAATCCGTCATTTTCTTTAATACAGTGCTACAGTGTCCCAGCCTTAATACTAGTTAATTCTACCTTATGACTAAATAAAATCATTCACATTGTAGTTTCAGCTCCTTAAAGTAGAACTAGAACTAACAGACCAATGCAAAACTTGGAGAAATGATTCATCATTATGGTTATGTGTCTTTTTACTAGTTCAGTTAAACTTCAGATTGTTATTTTTTAGTGGTGAATCTTCAGTAATCAGTTTACAAATCAGTTGCACACAGTTAATCAGAAGAACTTATGATTTTGTGATGTGAATTATCTCCTTTCAATTAAGGTTTTGGCTTGGACAGCAGCGTTGCAAGCAATCTATAAAACATCTGCCTACAATAAGCAGTGAAACATTGCAGCTGTCCAATTACTCAACCCATCCTATTGGAAAGCTTTCTAAGAATAAGCTGTTCATTAAACTTACCCGTCTTCCTCAGTATTACATTGTAAGTATGCACAGGGGGGATTTGGATGATCAAGTTCAGTAATTCTATTAGTATTTCACATGATTTACTGCTTAATTTAATTGCAGACATATTTTATTGGATATTTGACTTCAGTGATTCTCAACCTAGAAGGGTAGGGATGGGGGAGAGAGGAAAATCATGTCTATGAAATGATACAATGATCAGGCAGGGTTGGGGAATATAAGGTATGTCTCCATCCCTCACCCTCAGATCTTTCCTGTAGTGAGGCCTAGTTTCTCTTTGGGATGAAGCATCTCCTCTCTATGGGAGGGAAAACATTGAAAGCAACTACTGTGAAGGTGTGTGGAGATGTTTTGGTATCAGATAAACTTGCTTGCTTTTAATCAAATGTTAACTTGCATAATGCATCCTTTTAAATACAGCTGGCTGAAGTAGCTTTATATTCTCATCCTTAACTGATTGAAGGCATATATATATAGATTTTTATTAATTGCATTTTTATTGATTGCATGTACCTTTCAGTGCACAGTAAGATCCTTTCTTATTCTTTTTTCACTCTAGATTTCTTGGTGTTTTGTAGTTAGTTTCTTTGAGATCTTTGAATTGGTTAAAAGTTGTAAGAATTTGAAATATGAATTCACCCTAAATATATTTCCCTGCTTGTAGAAATTTCTGTATATACCACATAGATATTTTTGGCTAAGAATCTTGAGATATTTGAAAAACTTAATTCAAGCTTGTTGGTTGAAGGTAATAGGAGTGAATTTTTTTAAGGTTTTGAGCTGTATTTTTAAAAGATACTATCTTAAAAAAAATGTACCCTGTCTAGCCTGACATATCTGAGGTTAGCGTTATTTGTATAGAGCAATAGGTTTGTCATTGATGTGAACTTCACTTTTTTCCTGAATTTTAAAACCCCAGCTGTTGAACTAGATTTGGTACATGACAAAGGATTGTTGTCTCCATCCTTGGTGAGCTGCCTAGTCTACATACAGAATGATACTCAGAATACATGTATAATAATCAAACCTATTGAACACACAAAGATCCTTATACTCAGCCACAGACAAAATGGTTTTATTATTTCTGACCTTATTTAGTATCAACAGAAACCAGACGTTAGTTTCAATGACTAATGGTTTATTATAAAGCAATAATTTGTTTCACGTGGCTTAGACCAAAACTGAATCTATGTTACTCTTCATCCTTCTTATTTCTCACTTAGGGGTGACACATTCATAGAAGTGGGAAAAACTGGGGACATTAAGAACAGAGGAAAGGATTGTTGCCTTTAAATGTCTGCCATTTTACTTTTGTCAGCTTTATTAAGATATAATTTACATATGGGAAAAGTTTAGACTGTGTCTGAGTTGTAATAAATGCATACACTATTGTAATCCGCCTCTCAGCAGAACACAGAACAGATCCATCACCCCCAAAATGCCCTCATGCTGCTCCTCTATAATTGGACCCTCCCCCCACTCTCAGTTGGTGACCACTGACCTGTTTTATGTCTATATAGGTTTTCCCATCAGTCTAGTTTCTTTCACTCAGCATAATGCCTTTGATTTTCATCCATATTGTGATGTGTATTATAGTTCATTCTTGTAATTGGAGTAGTAGTCATGGTATGGATGTACTATGGTTTGTTTAACCAGTCTCTGGTGGAAGGACATCTGGGTTATTTCCAATTTGGTGCAATTATGAATAAAGCTGCTGTAAGCATTTGCATATAGGTGTTTTTGTTTTTGTTTTTTAGTGAACTTAGGCTTTCACTTCTTTGGGATAAGTAACCAGGAGTAGGATTGTTGGGTTAGGTTATAATGTCAGTGTATGTTTAGCTTTTGCCAAACTGTTTTCCAAAGTGGCTGGGCCATTTTGCATTACTGATGGCAATACAAGAGAGTGCTAGATGTTCTGCATTTTTGTCAGCACTTGGTATTATAATTTTTTTTTTTTAAAGATTTTATTTATTTATTTGACAGAGAGATAGCGAGAGAGGGAACACAAGCAGGGGGAGTGGAAGAGGGAGAAGCAGGCCTCCCGCGGAGCCCGATGCGGGGCTCGATCCCAGGACCCTGGGATCATGACCTGAGCCGAAGGCAGACGCTTAACGACTGAGCCACCCAGGCGCCCCATTGGTATTATAATTTTTAAAGTTTAGCCATTCTGGGGTTACCTGGCTGCGACTCTTGATCTCGGGGTTGTAAGTTCGAGCCCCACATTGGGTGTAGAGATTACTTGAAAAATAAAAATCTTTTAAAAATAAGTAAATTTTAGCCATTCTGATAGATGTATAATGGTATTTTTTTGTAGTCTTTATGCTGCCCTAATGACTGATGATATTGAATATCTTTTCATGTATTTTTTTTTTTTTTGGTCATCTCTGTATTTTCTCTGGTGAAGCATCCATTTTCCTTTTAATTCTTCCATTTCCTCGTGCATCAGTGTGATACTAGGTGTTAGCCTAAGAGTTTCCTGAAGAGAGTGTGTGGGGAGGGGGTGGGATAAGGGAGAGAAAGGAGGCAGGAAGAGAGACAGGAAAGCATATGTTGGTCAGAGCAATGGTCCAATGGCATTTATTTCTCCCCTTAAAGTATTTAGGGGACTTTTCTTAAATTTTAGGTAGAACTTGAAAACAGTAAACTGGTATAGTGGGTAAAAGCAAGGTCTCTGGAGCCAAACCGGAATCAAAGCATGAGTCCATCGCTTCTCAGCTCTTGAGACCTTGGGCAAGTAACCTAAGTATTTTGTGCCTCAGTTTCTTCATCAGAAAAATGAAGGCAGTAATCCTTTCTTTACAGAGTTATTAGGAGGTCTGAATGCGTTAACATGTGTCAGGTACTTGGGACAGTATGTGGCATCTAGTACTCTCTATATCAGTGTTGGCTGTTGGTGGTGGTGGTGTCATCCTCACAATGACCATATCTATCAGGGTTTATTTTTATATGCTTCCAATTGTGAGAGTTATTTGTCATTTTTCTCGGCTCTAACAGTGGAATTCTTAGGAGGTTTTATTTTTCTTTAAGATTTTATTTTTGAGTAATCTCTATACCCAGTGTGGGACTTGAACTCAACAACCACAAGATCGAGTTGCATGCACCACCAACTGAGCCAGCCAGGCACCCTTAGGATGTTTTAATGGTTAAGGGAAACAAGGCAATTTGAAATAGGTAGATACCATTCTAGAAAATCTAGCAGTTCTGCTTTACTTAAGCATACAGTGTTTTAAGCTAAGATATGAATATCCAGAACACTTAATGCTATAATAATCTAAATGTCCCATTTGCTGTAGTTTATGGTGGTTTTTGCTTTTATTCATTAGTCTGATCTATTTTTTAGAGAACAAAGGATATATTTAACAGGAATGCTTTTTTTGTTGAGAATCATGATTGATTTGTCCTCATTTAAAGAAGAAAGACCATCTACATTAGATTTACATTTCTGAGCCCTACTTGCTATAAGGTGGAAAATATGCAACACTCATTAATTATTTCTCTGAGTCTCATTTCTGACTTGGGCCTTCTTAGGTTGTGGAGATGTTGGAGGTTCCCAATAAACCCACGCAGCTGTCGTACAAGTACTACTTCATGTCTGTGAATGCTGCGGAACGTGAGGACACCCCTCTCATGGCTCTCCTGCTGCAGCAGTTCAAGGAAAACATCCAGGACTTGGTTTTTCGCACCAAACCTGGCAAACAGCCTAGGACCAGTCCCAAGCGCAAGGTAGGATCACATATAGAAGTGAGCACAGGATTGGTGTGTGTTAACTCTCTTGTGTTCTTTAACCATTTTTAACATGGGAAAGAATGAGATCTGGTTTGTAAGAGACTGGGGGACAATCAGGTTTAAGTAACAGTTTTCTACATTTTCTTGAAAATGCCTCTCTTAATTAATAATTAATTATACACCATTTCCACAAGAGAGTTTGCTAAATACACAATATTTACGTAAATTTCCAGTATTTAGGTTGAAATATTTGCTCAATAAATACTTGTTGAATGCATAACATTTGTTTTTGTTAACCTTGAGCTATAGTAGTTTAACTGCCTTAACTAATTGCATCACCTGTACTTTTTTTTACCCCAATTCTAGTTGTCTGATGATCCATGTCCAGTAGAACCCAAGAAAACAAAACGATCAGGAGAAATGTGTGCCTTCAATAAAGTTCTAGCTCACTTTGTTGCTATGTGTGATACAAATATGCCATTCGTAGGACTTCGGTTGGAGGTAATTTTTTGAAACAGTTTTGAGTACTCTATATAAAAGTAATTTTTGGGGCGCCTGGGTGGCTCAGTTGGTTAAGCGACTGCCTTTGGCTCAGGTCATGATCCTGGAGTCCCTGGATCGAGTCCCGCATCGGGCTCCTTGCTCGGCAGGGAGCCTGCTTCTGCCTCTGACCCTCCCCCCTCTCATGTGCTCTCTCTCTCTCCTTCTCTCTGTCTCAAATAAATAA